GTGGCTTCTCAATGGTCACTTTCCTTTTGGAAGTAAACTGAGTGGGAAATGATCAACATTTCTTTAAAAAAAAAAAAGAAAGAAAAGTGGGGGTGGATGAGGCTTCCAAAACAATCAAGCATTTAAGACTACTTCTAGGCATTCAGGGAGGAAAGAAAAAAAAAAAATCTAGGACTGAGTCACTACTCTCAGCCACCCATAATTGGCCTCTAGTCTAATAAAGATAAAAGGAGATAGCGCGACAGGGCACCATCCCTACACTGACACTGTATACATGAACACAACCTCCTCTATTCCACCCATCAACACCTACCCTGAACACTAAAGATGTACATGCAAACATTCAGTCACAGGAAAACAAAAAGTTATTTTATATTAAAGCAAAGACTCTAACATCTGCAATTTCAAAAACTTAGCTTTTGTGTTTAAAAAAATACAGCTCATTTTCTCTGGCAGCTATTTCCTTGTTGTTTGCTAAGTGAGAATGCATATGTACACAAATGTGTTTTCAATATTTAAGATATTTTTGTCTTTACATTTGGAAAAAAATTTAACTTTGTTATATTTCAATATTAATTGCTTTTTTAAAAAGAAAATTTTGGAGAGGTTTTTGCTATAGGGCGTGAGTGCTTGCCAGAAAGACAGAAAGTGAGAAATCACCCCCCCCCCCAGGGAGGATGGCCATGCCACGATCCCCCATTCTCCTTCCGCTGGACTCCCATGTAGTTGACTGAGGTTCAAGTCCTGGACCTGGTGGCTTAAACTCATGCCAGGCACATGTCCAGCGACATAGGCATTAAGCCATCTGCTGGTCCCTCAATATTATTGCTTTTAAGTTTTTACTCTTTCCTAGGAAGCCATATTATACATTTTAAGTACCTCTTGAAGAACTAAAACAAAGAATCCACATAAGTTGTGAAGTGATCATGAGTCTTAGACTCAACATGGTTACTATTATTATTTTATTTGATAAAAAAATTTTAGAATTATTTACTTTTTTATTTATTCATACTGGTATCCAGTAGCTCATGATATAAATCCAATGTTTCTTTCTGACTGAGGAATAAAAACTTAAGATTAAGGGAAAGAGAAAATCAAAGCAATAACATGACAGACCAGAAGAAGAGTTACACAAAAGATGTAACTCTGCAAGGACAATATTCTCTCACAAGAACAACAGTAAAAGGTCAGGCACCTTCCAAAGATGCCTGGGCTTAGATAACACTGTCTAACTAATACAATTTCACTGGGTACAATTTTTCCAGCAGCCAAAATCCTACTGTGGGGTGAGTTAAGACCCATTTATAAGAGACAGTTATACTATGTTGAGCTTCTCCTCTGAAGTTGAAATAAATTTTTAAAAGCTTTATTCAATTCAGAGCAGTTCCACTGAAATGAAATTAATAACAAATTCAAAATGTCTGGATTTCCCTAAGAAAATGTCAACTCCTTCCCCAGAAACCTACCCAAAGAAAAGACAAATGGAGTTCTTATTCCCTGGAGTAATTCAGACCTTTAATCAAGGGCCAGGTGGTACAGATGGTTGAAATGATGTTTCTGGAAGCACATTTCCAAATACTTTCCCAAAGGGCCCCCCAACTGTAATATAAACTATTAAGAGGGATTTGATACAACTTCAGCTACAGTATTCATGGATGGTAAGCAAACTCCCTCACAAAAGCTCGACATACTAACAACTCTCCAACAGACTTCCAGGGTTCTCGGCCCTTTGGTGGGCTAAGGGAAGGTACGCGACCCTTCCAGCGAGGACACTAAGGTAGGATACAGGGCCCTGGAGTGTCTAGCCAACCTCCTGAATTTTACAGACCTCGCAGCAGCAGTTAACTTTCTCACCCTTTTGGTATCAAAGTTCACCCAGAACCCAGGTGTCCGGATCCCAGATGCACATCCGCATACACGACCAAGGAGCGGCCAGAGGGCGTGATCCTGAGCCAGATGACGTGCACACTCACGCAGCTCTTCCACGAATTGTTTGCATACCTTTGCGCACCCTAGCTTCTGAGCTTCAATTTCTACATCTGCGAAATGGGAGTCAGAGGCTCCAACAGCCTGGGGCTGCGGGAAGAGCCAGCGTGCTGAAACTCGTTCGCAGCCTCTCCCCTCCCCCGCCCGCGGGGGGGCCCCCCCGCCCCGC